AATTCTCAGCTTTCAGCGCTATCACACTTTGAATGACAATTGCGCAGTCATGCAACACTGCACCCATATGAATTTTTTAGCATTTTTTTTGAGACAGATAAAACTTTATTTTGGTGGTATTTATTCACCGCTGGGATTTTTTTTTGTTATATAAATGAAAAACTCCAAACATTTTGAAAAAAAAAAAAGTTTTTCTGATAAACATTTATTTTTTATTACAAATAAATTTTACAAATAAATAAACTTTCTTCATAAATCTTGGCCAAAACGTATTCAGCTTATTAGTTTATAGCCAAAAATTATAATTTTTTTAAAAAATTTTTACTTAATGGGTTTTTTTTTTGTTTTTTTAACATACTGTCACCCTAGCAGTAGAGTTTTCTTTTTTTTTACACTGATTGCTTTTAGACCCATAAAGGCTGTAAAAGCAATAATTTATCCTCATCTCTGGCTGCATTCATGCAGCCATTGAGAAATACTGTGAGAGTTGTGATTGGTCACAGCTTGTCACCTGGTACAAGGCTGTTGTGAATAGCCCTGTACCATGTGAACCCTGTGATCATTCAGATTTCACAAGTAGTAAGCAATGCTGTCAGGAAGTGTTATCTTGCCTCTACTATTCATATGATCACTGATTGGCCAATCAGTGATCACATGAATCGGGACCTAAGACAGAGGTCCCGTACAGCGATCGGTGTTCTGCTGTGTCCCAGGGAGCGCACACAGTCAGTTAATGCGGGGGCCGTTTATGTACATGGGCCAGACGGGAAGTGGTTAAACTGCCTCTGATTAAGCCAAAATAAAGTTCAGCTGTCCAAGTAGGTCTTTCCTGACATTTTCTTAGTCGCATCCTACAGCAAAAGCCATGGTCCACAGAGAGCTTCCAAAGCATCAGAGGGATCTCATTGTTAAAAGGTATCAGTTAGGAGAAGGGTACAAAAGAATTTTCAAGGCATTAGATATACCAAGGAACACAGTGAAGACAGTCATCATCAAGTGGAGAAAATATGGCGCAACAGTGACATCACCAACAGTGACATCACCAACAGAGACATCACCAAGAACTGGACGTCCCTCCAAAATGGATGAAAAGACGAGAAGAAAACTGGTCTGGGAGGCTTCCAAGAGGCCTACAGCAACATGAAAGGAGCTGCAGGAAAATTTGCAAGTACTGGCTGTGTAGTCCATGTGACAACGATCTCCCGTATTCTTCATATGTCTGGGCTATGGGGTAGAGTGGCAAGACGGAAGCCTTTTCTTCCGAAAAAAAACATCCAAGCCCGGCTAAATTTTGCAAAAATACATCTGAAGTCTCCCAAAAGCATGTAGGAAAATGTGTTCTGGTCTGATGGAACCAAGGGTGAACTTTGTGGTCATAACAAAAGATATGTTTGTCGCAAAAACAACACTGCACATCACCAAAAGAACACCATACCCACCGTGAAGCATGGTGGTGGCAGCATCATGCTTTGGGGCTGTTTTCCTTCAGCTGGAACTGGGGCCTTAGTCAAGGTAGAGGGAATTATGAACAGTTCCAAATACCGGTCAATATTGGCACAAAACCTTCAGGCTTCTGCTAGAAAGCTGAAAATGAAGAGGAACTTCATCTTTCAGAATGACAACCACCCAAAGCATCCATCCAAATCCACAAAGGAATGGCTTCACCAGAGGAAGATGAAAGTTTTGGATTGGCCCAGCCAGAGCCCAGACCTGAACCCGATGGAAAATCTGTGGGGTGATCCGAAGAGGGCTGTGCACAGGAGATGCCTTCGCAATCTGACAGATTTGGAAGAGCGGGCAAATATTGCCAAGTCAGGATGTGCTGTGCTAATAGACTCCTCCCCAAAAAGACTGAGTGCTGGAATCACATCAAAAGGGGCTTCAACAAAGGATTAGTGTAAGGGTGTGCACACTTATGCAACCAGATTATTTTAGTTTTTTATTTTTTACTTCTCTCCACCTAAAAGATTTCAGTTAGTTGTTCAGTTTATAGGTCACATTAAAAGGTGGAAAAAGTTCTGAAATGATTTATCATTGTCACATTTTAACAGGGTGTGTAGACTTTTTATAGCCACTGTATACTCAAAGATAACAAAAAAAAAAAAAAAACCCAATCCCCTCAAAAAAAAAAAAAAAAAAAAAAAAAATTAAAACAAATTAAAAAAAAAAAACAGGCAGACTCAATGGACCACTCAGTCTTTTTCTGCTGTCACTTTTCCATGTTAAATCTTTTGTAAGTGAAACGTTATTGTTCAAGACAAGCAACAAAAACTTTGCTTGAAATCTCCATTGTGTTGCTTATCTGCTACAAGAAAGCTTCAAGCAATCGTAAACATTTTTTTTTTTTTTTAATTAAAAAAACATGTTGTACTCGCCTGCTCTGTGTAGTGGTTTTGCACAGAGCAGCCCTGATCCTCCTCTTCTGGGGTCCCCCGCTGGCCCAGGAGCTGCTTTCACTTGACCTATGGCCCCGATGGCAAGCCGCTTGCAATGGGGGCACTTGATCCCAAGGTGAGCTCTGTGTGTCCATTGACATAGACCAGGGGTGTCAAACTAGCGGCCCTCCGGCTGTTGCGAAACTACAAGTCCCATCATGCCTCTGCCTTTGGGAGTCACGCTTGTAACTGTCAATCTTGCAATGCCTCATGGGACTTGTAGTTTAACAACAGCTGGAGGGCCGCCAGTTTGACACCCGTGGATGATGCTGGACATCCTCCAGCCAGGAAATGAGGCGGGCCCTAATGAATGAAAGGGGTGGGACCAGGGACAGTCAAGGCTGGGGAGGAAAGGGCTAGAATGGGTGTCAAACTGGCGGCCCTCAGGCTGTTGCAAAACTACAAGTCCCATCATGCCTTTGGGAGTCATGCTTGTAACTGTCAATCTTGCAATGCCTCATGGGACTTGTAGTTTGGCAACAGCCTGGAGGGCCGCCAGTTTGACCCCTTGACAAAGCATGGCTTGGCCCTCCCCCCATTGCTCTCCTGCACAGCGCTGGATCGAGTTCAGGCTTTGGTAAGTATACAGGGGGCAGGGGGCAGGGAAGGAGGGATGGTTGCTATTACCCTCTCCACCTTCCGGCTGTCCCCAGCATCCTCCTCAGTCCAGCTCTCAAACAGTCATGGACCCCGTTAGTCTACTCATTTCCTGTAAGCCCACTTGGGTTGTCATGATACTCACAGTACGACAATGGTCATCAGAATACATGTCTAATGATGAAATATTTTGGCGACATCTCTCTAAGGGGGGCAATTCCTCTTCTGTATCCATGTCTGGTAGACTTAACCAACAGGTTTACTGATAACTTCTGAAGCTTCAATGCTGCTTGAGAGCCACTGGAACTCCTACGCCCACCCCTCTCCCTCCATCTGCCCATTCACAGAAGCCTTTGTATGATGTAAACTCATTCACAAAATACAAAAGGCATCTGTGAATGGACAGCAGAGGGGAGGGAAGGGGCGGGCATAGCTACTCTATGTGCTTTTCTCCTCTCACAGCCAGAGTGTGTCCTCCGGGAGTGTAATCAACCTGCCACTCTCACCTATCATTATAAGGAATAGTGATGAGTCCAGGAGGTGACATGCACCTAATTGGACTTAACTTGTAGTGTGACTGCACTTTTTGCAAAGTTGCTGAATTCCTGGAATTCAGCTTTAAGGACCAGTTATTTATTTCAGGTACTTGTATAGCGCCGTCCGTTTACGCAACGATTTTACATATATATTGTACATTCGCATCAGTCCCTAACCCTCAAGGGGCGTACAATCTAAGGTCCCTAACTTATATTCATACATACACATACTAGGAGACAATTTAGACAGGAGCCAATTCACCTACCAGCATGTCTTTGGAGTGTGGGAGGAAACTGGAGTACCTGGAGGAAAACCACGCAGGCACAGGGAGAACATGCAAACTCCAGCAGCAGGTAGTGCTGTGGTTGGGATATGTTCACACTCCATGAGTTTAGGTTGCTTTTTTTCTGCATCCAAAACGCACAGAAAGTCAGTGATATGGTTGTCAATCACATCAGTGCTTGCAGTTCCAGTGCGTTCCGGTTGCAGAAAAAAAAGCAGAACAGGCTGCAGTTTTTTCTGCACAGAACTGTACTGGAACGGTAAAAACGCACCAAAAACACACGTCCCTATTTAAACTGAAGAAAAAGAGAGGGGGAAAAATGAACTGGAATGTATAAAAAACTAACCGGAACGCACCAAAAAAGTGTAAAAAAATGTGTATGCAAAAAACGCATCCAAACTGCGTTTCTATAGTGTGAACCGGCCCTAAGGAACGGTTCACACTAGATGCAGTTCAGTGCACTTTTTTTCTGCATCAAAAATGAATGCACAGCATTTTCCATGTATTCCAATGGCCCTAGTTTACACCACTGCAGTCAGTTTCTGGAGCAGAAAAGAAAAGTAGAACATGCTGCACTTTTTCTGCACAGAACCGTACTGGAGCATAGAAAAATGCACCGGAACTGCATGTGGTGGGAACTGTGAGCAAGAACGTACCCGGAATGCATCTGGAGGGCGTTTTTAGGGCGGAAACCGGCCCTATGGGAAATATTCCAAAGGAGGTCTCAAAAGATTAAAAAAGTGTGACAATTTGGGCACCAATTTCCAATACAAACCAATGAGGAACGCCTTGACACAGTCATATGATTGCAGCGTTGTAATGATATCTCTTATTGAAGTACCTTTTGGAGTTTCTTCGTTGACAGCCTGGAAATGTGGAGATTTGGTGTTCCAACTCCCTGTGATTATATAAGACTTCCCATCTGAGCTCTTACCCATGGATTCCTAAAGAAACAAAATCGTCCTTTAAATGACCGGAATATTTTAGTTTGCAAACTCTTTAAAGACAGAGAGCGGATACAGCGAATGCGGGTTTCGAATGGGGGAGAGCGGATACAGCGAATGCGGGTTTCGGGGGGAGAGCGGATACAGCGAATGCGGGGTCCGGGGAGAGCGGATACAGCAAATGCGGGGTCCGGGGAGAGCGGATACAGCGAATGCGGGGTCCGGGTGAGAGCGGATACAGCGAATGCGGGGTACAGCGAATGCGGGGTCCCGGGGAGGCGGATACAGAGCGGATACAGCGATACAGCGAATGCGGGGTCCGGGGAGAGCGGATACAGCGATATGCGGGGTCCGGGGAGAGCGGATACAGCGAATGCGGGGTCCGGGGAGAGCGGATACAGCGAATGCGGGGTCCGGGGAGAGCGGATACAGCGAATGCGGGGTCCGGGGGGTCCGGGGAGAGCGGATACAGCGAATGCGGGGGTCCGGGGGAGAGCGGATACAGCGAATGCGGGGTCCGGGAGGAGAGCGGATATAGCGAATGCGGGGTCCGGGAGAGCGGATACAGTGAATGCAGGGTCCGGGGAGAGCGGATATAGTGAATGCGGGGTCCGGGGAGAGCGGATACATAGTGAATGCGGGGTCCGGGGAGAGCGGATATACAGTGAATGCGGGGTCCGGGGAGAGCGGATATGGGGAATGCGGGGTCCGGGGAGAGGGATACAGCGAATGCGGGGTCCGGGGATATAGGGAATACAGCATGCGGGGTCCGGGGAGAGCGGATATGGGGAATGCGGGGTCCGGGGAGAGCGGATATAGTGAATGCAGGGTCCGGGGAGAGCGGATATGGGGAATGCGGGGTCCGGGGAGAGCGGATATAGTGAATGCAGGGTCCGGGGAGAATGGATATGTCCGGGGAATGCGGGGTCCTGTAAAGCATTACACCCACGATCAGCAGATGGCGGGTGTAATGCCATGGTCCTGCAGACTGTCTGTGTAAGTAGCTGTCTGCCCGTACCTCCGATATGGGCAATACAATGACAGGAAGCTGAATGAACTACTAGATACCTCAACATCACCATGGTAGTTTGTTTGAGAACTACAAGCCGACAGCTGCAAAATGAATGAATGTTGACATGGCCGGCTGGGCATTTTTTTTTTTTTTTTCAATTGTGGCAGCCAATGGGCCCACTCACTGTCAAAAGGGGGACTCAGGGGGAGCAGAGGCCGGTGCATTTGTAACATATTACACAGTGATTATGAATGCAACATGTAAGATTTTACAAAAAGTGAACTTCTCCTTCAACCTAGCAGCATGTCAGTGAACTGTGAGGTGTCAGTGAGTACTCAGAGGAAACCCATGCAAGCACAGGGAGAACATACAAACTACATACAGACCGCTCAAGCAGATGTGTCAACCACAAAGCTTTTAGCACTATATATATATATATATATATATATATATATATATATATATATATATATATATACACATAACCACTATATGTATCAGTTTCGTTTTCCTTACCAGTTCTAATAGATGCATGTCACTGTTCCGCACATCTCTGCCCGGACTGAGAAGAAGCCCAAAACACCTGAAACAAACAATTACAAAGATCACAACTAAAACTATGAAAAAGAAACATGGACAACAGAAGTTTAGCTGTGGAATTATGCTGTAATGTCAATTATGATTTGATTAAAAAAAAAAATATATATATATATATATATATATATATATATATATATATATAATCTTGCATGGTGCACCAGACCTAGGGAGACTGACACTTGTTTTGTGTTTCTTCCATTTGTGAATGATTGCACCAACTGTTGTCACCTTCTCACCAAGCTGCTTGGCCATAGTGTGGTAGCCCAGTCCAGCCTTGTGTAGGTCTACAATCTTGTCCCTGACATCCTTGGACAGCTCTTTGGTCTTTGCCATGGTGGAGAGTTTGGAATCTGATGGTTTGATTGCTCCTGTGGACAGGCGTCTTTTTATACAGGTAACAAAATGAGATTAGCAGCACTCCCTTTAAGAGACTGCTTCTAATCTCAGCTTGTTACCTGTATGAAAGACACCTGGGAGCCAGAAATCCTGCTGAATGATAGGGGATCAAATCCTTATTTCCCTCATGAACATGCAGATCCGTCATCATTTGTTAGACGCATTTCTGCTGAATTTGTTGTTGCTATTCTGTCTCTCAGTGTTACAATACACCCAACATTCGATTTTTAGACCGATCATTTCTTTGTGAGGGGCGAACATCAGCCGGGGAGCAAATACGCATTTTTCCTTATACTATATATATATATATATATAAAAATTTGTTGATGAAGAATATAATTCTTCATATATTATATTATACAACAAATCACACACAATTAATTTTATGGGAAGAAAAAAATAAATGTGTGTGTGTGTATATATATATATATATATATATAATCCTTCATTAACAAATTATTAAGGGGAAAAAAAAAAATCTCTCTCTCTCTCATATATATATATATATATATATATAACTCTTCATATAACAAGTTATTCTTTTCATTTGTTTTAGGTGTGTGTATGTATGTGTGTGTGTGTGTGTGTATATATATATATATATATATATTTATTTATTATCAGTCATCAACAAATTATTATGGGGAAAAAAAAAAAAAAAAAAAAAAAAAATCACACTTTTTTCCCCCATAATAATTTGATGATGAAGAATGGAATTGTCAAAAAAATCATTAGGTTTGAACAAAAATTTGTAATACACATAAATGCATTTGGATTAACTGCTCCCGCACTGCCCTATAGCAGAAATACTGCTACAGGGCGGCACAGGTTTATATATACGTGATTTTGCATTCACGGGTATTCCCGGGTAGGGGACCCGCGCGTGGCCATTTGCGGCCTCAACTGTCGATCACCACGTCTCGCCCGTGATCCCCTGCCGGCACCCGGCGTTCACCAATCATCAGTGATGGGGAGGGAGAGCCATACAAAGCAGTGTGCTTACAGTGGAAAGCACAGCACACAGTTAACCCTTTGATCGCTCCAAATGTTAACCCCTTCCTGCCCAGTGTCATTAGTACAGCGTCGGTGCTTTTTATTTGCACTGATCACTGTAATGGCGTCACTGGGGATGTCAATGACACCAAGCCAATTCCCCCCAGTGTCAGAATGCTCGCCACAGTCTTGCTATAAGTCGCTGATCACCGACATTACTAGTAAAAAATAAAAATTAAAATAAAAATTCCAGTATCTAAACGCTATAACTTTCATGTAAACCAATTAATTTACACGTATTGGGATTTTTTATTTTTTTTTAAATTTTAAATTGCCTTTAACCATTAGCTGCCCGGCCAATGGCCGTTTGGCGGCTTCAAAACAGTCTCTGCATTCCGGGTGCACGCCATTTGGCGTGCTCCCGCACATGCGCCGAGCGGCGCAGCAGTGCGATCTGTCACCGGCCGTGCACCTCGGACACGGCCGATGACAGATCCGAGTACCGGCTCCCGTTGCTGGTACCATGTGACCTGCTGTGACCAATCACAGCAGGTCACATGACAGTTGTATACAATGGATGGCTTCATTCATGATGCCATCCATTGTATACTAGTGCCTAGCTGTGAATGGTCACAGCTAATCACATGCACATGTCATGTGATTAGCTGTGACCAAATCACAGCTAAGCACAAAAAAAAAAAAAAAAAAAAAAAAAAAAAAAAAAAAGCTGAACGAATCGATTTCATTCAGCTAAATGCTTGCTTATAGCAAAGTAATTCTTTACTATAAGCAAATTGTGTAAAAAAAAAAAAATACTGATCACTTCCCCAAAGTAGTACAATGTTACTATGGTAACATTGTACTACTTTGGTCATAGTAAAATATGAAAAAAAAAATCTTAAAAAATGTAATAAAAAATTAAATAAAAAAATTTAAAAAAAATTAAAAAAAATATATATATATATTTTTTTCATACTGTCACCAGTCAGTGTCCCTGTTCACCGCCATGCCAGTTATATGATGACGCCGTACTGCACTGGTGACAGTATGTAAAAAAAAAAAATAGTGAAAATAGTTTTAATTTTTTAATTTTCAGAAAAATTATGACAAAAAAAAAATACAACTTCAAAAAACTCGCCATGCCTCTTATGAAGTACGTCGGACTGTCTACTCTGCAAAAAAGGGTCATTTGGGGATATCTGTACTGTCCTGACATTTGGGGGATATCTGTACTGTCCTGACATTTGGGGGATATCTGTACTATCCTCACATTTGGGGGATATCTGTACCGTGCTGACATTTGGGGGATATCTGTACTGTTCTGACATTTGGGGGATATCTGTACTGTTCTGACATTTGGGGGATATCTGTACTGTTCTGACATTTGGGGGATATCTGTACTGTTCTGACATTTGGGGGATATCTGTACTGTTCTGACATTTGGGGGATATCTGTACTGTTCTGACATTCTTGGACCTCAAGAAATTAGATTGGCTGTCAGTACTTCAGGATCGATCAATAATCAGATCTATACCATAGTTTGTGAACTCTATAACTTTCCTACAAACTAAATAATACATCCTAATTTGGGTTATTTTCACCAAAGACATGTAGCAGAATACATCTCGGCCTAAATTTATGAAGAACAATTATTTATTTGTAAACTTTTATAACAGAAACAAACAAAAACGTGTTTTTTTTCAAAAATTTTGGTCTTTTTTTGTTAATTTAGCAAAAAATAAAAACCCCAGCGGTGATTAAATACCACCAAAAGCTCTAGTTGTGTGAAGAAAATGATAAAATTTTAGTTTGGGTACAGTGTTGTATGACCGCGCAATTGTCATTCAAAGTGTGAGAGCGCTGAAACCTGAAAAATGGCCTGGGCAGGAAGGGGGAAAATTGCCCGGTATTGAAATGGTTAAAATCACTTTTATTTACATGAATTACCTTCAAACCCAATAGAATCAAACCTGACTAGATTTCTGGGAACAGTGTGTTGCCTCCACAATATGTACGACGACTAGCGCACTTCTCCTATAATTGAAGTTACCTCTCAATGGTGAGTTCTTTGTTGGAAGTTTGCTGGACATAAATAACAATCTTCTTGTCCACGCCCTGACGCAGCCTGAAAACACTGCTTGTCCTTATCCTTAGTAACAGCACTAAGAAAAAAAAAAAAAAAAAGGAAACAAAAAAAAAAAAAAAAAAAAAAATTAAAAAGCACATAAATATAATGAAAAAAATCAAGACAAAGACATTCTATAAATATTTAACAGATGGTCAAGATATTATAGAAATCAGGGCAAAAATTGTATTTTCCTATGGAGTGGGGCTGAGCCCGCCCTACAGGGGTTAAATGCTTGAGAGATATACTTACCTAATCAGCATGCAAGACCGCTCCCCGCCTCACCTGCCTCCGAAATCTTGTGAATGGGCTGTTCCTAACGTCATCACGCCTATAGACAGCCTCCCGACTTGAAGTGGCAGGAGTGGGGAGAGCAGTTTTCTGGAGGATGAGAGGACGGGGGTGAGTATAGCTTTTCCCTGAGCCCCTGGACACGAGCAGTTAACCCATGCAGTGCGGGCACAGGTCCAATGCATGGGAAAATAAAAAATTAAAAAAAAAAAAAAAAAAAAAATTAGGCTGGAGTTTTGCTTTAACCTCCCTGGCGGTCTAACGAATCAATATTTTTGATTGTCAAAGCGATACATTGTTTTCTATGGAAATTTGCTGTTTTTTTATTGTAGGCCTGTAATTCACTTAAATCTGTCCAAACAAGACAAAAACAAGAGTCTAGTAAACATCCCGGGTTTGATAAAGTGTGAAACACGAAATCATAAATTATAATACAATTAATAATTCTAAAAAAATAAATAATAATAACAACAAATTTAATTCAATAATGTCATCAAGCCAAAAACACTGAAATTTTAAATAGAGCACCGAGTTCACACATCGCTAGTTAAGGTTTGGGGGATCGCAGGACGAGGTAAGGATCGGGGGAATCGCAGGACAGGATCGGGGAATCGCAGGACGAGGTAAG